TAAACAAGGTAATTATTGTTTTTCTGATTTTTATGCGTTTTTTTTTTCTATCCATGGAAATGAGTGTCAAAATTGAAGGTTTGTCTCAGTGCACTTTTTTTAACATGTATGCATGCCTAAAAATATCTGTCCAGAGTCATACACTTGAGGTAGGTGTGAACACTGGCTTCTCTGGAAACTCGGATTGGAGATCTGAAGAAGCAAATTGCAGCATTGAGGTATACTTACAATCTTGAATGTAGTCCAAGGACCAGCAAAGCTAAGGGAATGGGCCTTGACAGAGCTAGGAGGCATACAGATGGGTGGTTGCTTAGGGGTTAAGCTTTCTGTGGGGGGAAGGGTTTCACTGGTTTCATATAAAAGGAGCAGACATTTTAGTTTAGGGGACATTTTAATAATCCAGACTTACCTGTTGTTGCCCCACCTATCCTCCCTATAGTGTATTTTGGGGTGAGGTAGTTTTCCTTTTTCCCGTTTGGTCACGGTGGAGGGGGCTGGATAAGAAATTGGGTGGTAGGTAGGATTGGTAGCTGGCATGTTTGAATTGCGGTAACAATATTCATATGGTTGAATTTGTTATTTGGTAGGTTGGAGCCCATTGGTGGCTTTCAACCTGGGGTGTAGGTGTATACCCCTACAATGTTAAATCATTTTTAAATATAATGCCTCTTGTGGTTGTGTTTTATGTTATGTTATTTATATAGTGTTATTACATAGTTAAATAGCTGAAAAGAGACTTGCGTCCATCAAGTTCAGCCTTCCTCACATATTTTTCACTAGGAAAAAATTCCTTCTTGGCCCCAAAATAGCAGTCAGATGTCTCCTTGGATCAAGCAGCTATTACCTCACTAATTAGAAATTATATCCCTGCATGTTATGTTTTTGTAAGTATTTATCCAATTGCAGTTTAAACATCTGTAATGACTCTGACAAAACCATCTCTTCAGGAAGAGAATTCCATATCCTTATTGCTCTTACTGTAAAAAAAACTTTTCTTTGCCTCAGATGAAATCTCCTTTCTTCCAGCCTAAATGTGTGACCTCGTGTCCTATGTATAGCCCTGTTTTGGAATAGATTTCCAGATAAAGGTTTGTACTGGCCCTGAATATATTTGTATAATGTTATCATATCCCCTCTCAGGCGCCGTTTTTCCAAACTAAACAGATTTAATTTTTTTAACCTTTCTTCATAAGTAAAATGCTCCATTCCTTTTATCAATTTTGTAGCTCGTCTCTGGACTTTTTCTAGTGCCATGATATCTTTCTTTAGAACAAGCGCCCAAAATTGCACAGCATATTCAAGGTGTGGTCTTACCAGTGATTTATAAAGAGGCAAAATTATATTTTAATCCCGAGAATTTATGCCCCTATTTATACATGACAAAACCTTACTGGCCTTAGCAACTGTAGATTGACATTGCACATTGCTGCCTAATTTGTTGTCTATAACAATTCCCAAATCCTTCTCGTGTGTGGTTATCCCTAGTTCACTACCATCTAGGGTGTAAATTGCTTGTGCATTCTAACCCCAAAGTGCATAACTTTGCATTTCTCTACGTTAAATTTCATCTGCCATTTTAGTGCCCAGTCCCCCAATCTATCCAAATCCCTCTGCAACAAAGATATATCCTGCTCACATTTTATTACTTTACAAAGTTTTGTGTCATCTGCAAACAATGATACATGGCTTTCATTGTCTATTTCAAGATCATTTATAAATATGTTAAATAGAAGCGGTCCCAAAACAGAACCCTGAGGGACACCATTTACCACTTTTGTCCAGCCTGAAAATTTACCATTAATGACAACTCGTGGTACTCTATCCTTAAGCCAATGTTCTACCCAAGAACAAGAATATTAATCTAGACCAATTGCTTTTAGTTTGAAGACTAACCTATTGTGAGGAACCATGTCAAATGCCTTGGCAAAATCCAAGTAGATCATATCCACTGTAACACCCTGATCTATACTTCTACTTACTTCTTCGTAGAATGCAATTAGGTTAGTTTGACATGACCTATGTTTCATAAAACCATGCTGATTATTGCTGATAACAAAGTTCTTCCCAATGAATTCCTGAATATTATCCCTTAATAGCCCTTCAAATATTTTCCCAGTTACAGAAGTTAAGCTCACAGGTCTATAATTTATATGGTTTTATTTATGTTATTATTTTTTTGGTCATTGCTAGGGGGTATAGTAGTGTTAACTTGGGAGTGTACCTATGTTTACATGATATAAATATTTGTGTTAGTTTGGCAATTACCCATTTTATTATTTGTATATTTTACATATATACATATATATATTAGTGTAGTGGGAGGAGATAAGACAGCTTGGGAACTGGCAGATAGTTGGTTGATAGTTACACATGGTAGCAGGGAAGGAGGGAAGAGGAAAGGTTTGGCTAGTTTTTTTGTGCAACCTAGCAGATTTGCTCGTTAAAGTGAAATTATTGGGAGCATCAGTTAGAAGTAGTTGTACTGGAGGAAGCTGTTCCTTTTAGCAGCCAGGGGAACAGCCCCTCTGGTACATCTAGTACAGATGGGACTGAGAACATAAGAATGGCTAGATAGATTGGTAGGGGACTCTATGATAAAGAGAGTAGACAGGGTAATCTGCTGCTCTCATTAACTCAACCAGACAGCTTGCTGTCTCCCGGGCAGAGCTGATCCTAGGCAGGTGCACACAGTGCACAGCTCCCAGGCACTCTGTAGATAGAGGCCCATCATCAGGAAGTGCTCCTCACATTTTGTTAGGCTCCTCACATTTTGTTAGGCTCCACCCCTCACATCAGACATCTGGGACAAATATAACACTGATCAGGGGAGGCCACAGAGGTGGATTTAGGGGGGCACCCAAAAGAAGCCAAATGAGGATATCAGAGGCTCTCCCTACTGAGCTGGTGGGGAGATCAAAGACCTTGTAATGGAGGTAGGAGAGAGAACTTGCCCTGAGCCACTTTCTCCCTCCTCCTACAGTATCAGAGCATTACTGCAGGATACCACTGCAATACTCTGATACTTTCCCCCGGTGGTGGCTGGAAAGAGCTGTCTGCAGCTACTGGGGGTGTAGAAAAAGCAGCACATCTCCCACTGGACCAAGAGGGAACAGGGCTACCCCTCCATGAGCCAAGGTAAACGTCAGGAAGAGGGGAATAAACTCATGTTTTTCTTCAGCCCAAACTCCCCAATTGCAGCCCCTTTGCCCCATGTCCTACTAACTCCCCTAACACACCTACTACAGCCACTTACTTCCTACTACATCCCTTAAGCCCCCAATTGCAGCCCCTATGCACTACTACAGCCCTAACTGCCTACAAGACCCCTTATAACCAAACTGCAGTCCCTATTGCCACACTGCAGCCCATAGCCCTACTACAGCCCCCAACCCCGCTACTTTGGCCCTTGTAATCAAACAGCAGCCCCTATTCCCCCCACTGCAGCCCTCAGCCCCCCTACTACAGTCCCTTGTTGTCACATGGTTATTACCCTAACTTACAGTTTATGGGAAATCCACAAATAGAAAAATAAAGACGCATTACTGGGCCTTAGATTAGTAAGACTTAACAATATATATATATATATATATATATATATATATATATATAAAATTAATTATACATTGCTAAACACAAATACACACACCAGTCAAGCCATAAGACTTGCTTTTCCCACATAAATCTCAATTAAACAGTGCTCTCATAACTGCAAGGGATTCTGTGTAGGCATATGGAAATGTGCTCAACAAAGAACCACCTTTTTGCCTCATAAATCCACTATACATGGATTCCTTGGAGTATGTGTCTGCTGTATACAACAGCTTTGAAACACAACTGAGGAAGAGGAGCAAAGCTGGTGAACCACTCATGGACAACTTTTTCATTGTTAATGCAACTCATCAGCATGAGGTTGGTTACTGGCTTGCTATGGAGGCTTGGCGTTACTTTTAAAGTACATACCAAAGGAGTTGTGGTGGGGACAAAGGTGTGGATGAGATTACGAGAACCCCTTCCACCTGAAGTAAGTGGATAGTTAATACATTGCTAAACACAAATACACACACGAGTCAAGCCATAAGACTTGCTTTACACCCAAAAATCTCACATTATGTGGTTCTTAGTTGAGCTCATTTGCATACAACCACCCAGAATCCCTTGCAGAGAGCACTGTTAACGTGAGACTTCTGTGGGAAAAGCAAGTCTTATGGCTTGACTGGTGTGTGTATTTGTATTAAGCAATGTATTAACTATCTACTTACTTCAGGCGGAAGGGGTTTTCATCCACACTTTTTTCCCCACCACAAATCTTTTCTGTTTTTGCCCCCATTTTTCATCAGCTGAAAGGTCTAAGACTTTTTCTATGTAAACAAAAGGCCTATTTTTCTCAAATATTATTCACAAATCTGTATAAATCTGTGTTAGTGAGCACTTCTCCATTGCCAAGATAATCCATCCACCTCACAGGTGTGGCATATGCTGATTAGACAGCATGATTATTGCACAGGGATGTAACATTTGTGGGGATACTATGTGTTTTGGGGTACTTTTGGGACTTTATAGAAATGTATGTTTTTTCTGCCTGGAGATAATTGGGTTAATACAGTATCTGACTCAATTATCTCACACACAGCACCCTCACACATACAGCCCCCTTACACACCCTGCATCCTCACATACACAGCACTGTCACACACAACACCCTCACACCCACAGCATCCTCACACACATCACCCACACACACAGCATACTCACACACACTGCACCTCTCTCACACACACACAGCCCTCCTCTTACACATACTGCACACCTCACACACTGCACCCCACACACTGCACTCCTCACACATACACACAGCACCCCCAACACACTGCACTACTCACACACACACACACACACAAAATACTTCTATATATATATATATATATATATATATATATATATATATATATATATATATATATAAAAATATAAAAGGCTGGGGAGGGGTATGATTTCCCTACTCAAGGACCGCCAGACCCCTCCTCATTACCATTGATGGTCTGGCGATTTGCATACCTGGATTTCCGGCTGCAGCAGACCGCCATCTTGCTTCCTTTCCTCGTGGAGACCTTACCTGCTTTCAGAGTGTCTGCCCATTCCTGGATCAAGTTTCTTCTACCGTTCAAAGCCTCCAGGATTGTCCCCTCTCTTCCTGTCACCACCGCACGGTCTCGAAGCTACAGTAACAGTGAGTTGGTTGACCCCGTCGCAGGCGCACAGCGTCATCACGGGCCAACTCTATTTCACATACTTACCTCTGTTCGTATGCTTTTGCTTAAGTCTTTCGTTTAAACTTTCATACGAATGAACGGTTTCGGTAGTTTGCACACTATGTTCTATTGGTTTGTATACTTGTTTTTCGGGGGATTATACTCACCCATTCAGCAGTAAGTTTGCACGCACGAACAATACTCACGATTCTCACAACAAGTATGTTTCCTTATACTGGAGCGTTCGGTTGTTATGTGACTCTTTGTTCCTCTTTTGGAGCCGTTCGTATGATTACTGCCAAATGCCCTATTTTAAATTATAGGAATTTCTAGAGTCCATGCGGCGATTCGTTGAAATTACATAAATATGCTTGGTAGGCTATTGACCCCTAGAGGTCATAGGGAAGTGCTGCACTTATTACAATTTATCAAATACATGTGTTTCACAAGTTAAATTCAGCAGCACTTTGTTGCTATTTGTCTGCCTATTTTCTTGATACGTTATAAACATGTTTTATAGGTTGCCGAGCTTGAAACCCCCTTTTTGCTGTACCTCTCGGGTTGTCAAGGCTTATAAATTCTGGTTGACTCAGGTTTCAATTGTCACACTCTTTAGGTGGGTTCTGTTAATGTTGGTTGGTTAGTAATCAGTTATGCCCTCTTGAAGTTCTAATGTTGGCCATATTATATATTATAGATTGAAGTCACTCTGCATATTCACTATCATCTCCTTTCTTTCGATTCCTACAATATTACATCAGTTAGTGGTTTTGGATTTGTCTTACGAATCCACATTCTGCCCCCCATTGCTTGGATAATCTAACTGTTCCTTTTATGTTACTAGGTGCTAGGCCCTACTGGTTATACTACCAATTACGTTCATTTTTTTAGGCCTAGTCTATTAACTGGTAGGTATCCCATATTGTTTCATATTACTTACCACTATTTACAGTCTCGTGATGGGTACTACATGATGACTATTTACTCTCGTAGGTATTACTTGAATTCATCTACGCTTTCCTACTCTATTCATCTGATAACTACAGGTAGGTGTACCCAGGGGTCATTATACTTTTCCCCTCCCCATCCGGCACTACCTACTGGGGTAAGACTTTGGTCTACTGGCTGATAGGTTTCAGAGTCCACTCAGTTGATTTTTCTGGCCTTCTTGCCAAGTCTACGAGGCCAACACCCATCTCCATATTCTGAGGTACTCATGCCCAAACAGCCAACACATAGTTAGTCACCTCGCATAGTGGTATAGAGAGGGCCTCCCCTGTCACTCTCATGCTATTTTTGCTTTACTGGTCACCGAGAGGCCACCACCCCACCCAAAAATCCCCTCGGGCCAACACATAGCTAGAGCCGTTCATGCCACTTGGCAACTAGTGAGGGCTCCCATCTCCCATTTGTAGATCATTTCTTTGCTACTTGGCATTAGATAAGCTAGCCAGTACATTGTTATCACTTTAGTTACTTATGAATCTTTTGTCCTATTCTAGCATTGCTGAACTACCAAAAAGCCATTGAGGATCTGTCCATTCCCAGTATTACTACCATGTCCATCTTGGGGAGGGTAAAATGCCTAGCCTGTCTTTCCTCAGGTCCTGGACCATACCCAGGATCACGGCCGAATTAAGATACAGGAATATTCTCTAACCCGCGTTATATAGATTACTTTACACCAACACGGATAATACCAGGGCTGGCGAGGGCTCCAGTAGTGCCCAGTCACCTCACCTCCAGGCCATACTGTCATCAGTCCTGTCCTCATTGGGACGAATTATGGAAAGGCTTGACCATTTGGATGCTAATGATAGGCCAGTGGCACCATCTGAATTAGTTACTCCAGAACCTACTGGTCTCTCAGGCACCCTGACTGGTAAATTCATTGGTCCACTACAAAACCCTAACATTATTAACCCAGCTCATATGGTACCAGCACATATTAAGAAAGATACCTTGGAAAGTAAGGATGTCAATCTAGTTTCGCTACTGATTGCCTCCCAAGATATCCTGGAAAATAAGATGTATTCCTATGGTGATGTGCCAATTGTACTAAAGGCTAGGGACCCCATGTTTAAGAGAAAGTTGTCTATCCCTGAGTTTGTCCTGACTTTTTTGGATTTATAAGGACATGGTGTGCTCAGTTCATCCGGAATGTAGAGAGGAGTTTGACCTATATTTACACAAGTTGGTTGACCTGGGGCATAAATATGGTGGTGCATCTTTTTATGACTACCACAGATCATTCTCCGTGAAGGCATCTGCTGACCTGGCTCAGTTTAATTTGACTGAAGCCAGTTGGATGCAGAGCGATTTTGCAGGCACTTCGCGGCCCTCAGGTCTCCAGCTTGTAGTGTTTGCTCTTCATACTCTCACACCATGAACCTATGTCCTAATACCCCTGAGTTGGGTGCAGCCTTTCCTTTTCTTACTCCCTCAGCAAAACCTGAGAGAGTGATTAAGCTCAGCCGTACTATTGTGTTCCTTGGTAAATCCCAGATTTGCAATGACTTCAATGCAGGTTCCTGTGCATTTAGCACGTGCTGGTTATTGCATGTGTGTTCTCTTTGTTTTAGGGCACATGCCAAAATGATGTGTCCTAATAAATTGTTTCCCAAACCCTACATGACCTCAATTAATGTGACTTATTTCGCCGACTTACTGCAGAACCACCCCTCACACCACTTGGTGGAGTTTTTGGTGTTGGGATTCACGGAAGGGTTCCATACAGGAATCATTTACATGCC